TATATAGTTTGATGAAACTTCAGCTCTTACTATATATAGCCTTTGAAACTTCATCTGTAACTTCATCTCTATATATAGCCTTTGAAACTTCTCTTACTATAACTTCATCTTTGCCTTTGAAACTTCATCTCTAACTTCACCTCTTACTATAGCCTTTGATGAAACTTCATCTCATACTGCATCTCGCTCTTATTATATATAGTGTAACACCCCGAAATTTTAAAACTTTTTAAGCTTATGTAATAAAGGTAAATTCTCATTAAACCCCAAAACATAATATAGTAGAGTATGGGGTGCTATGACACACCTGAGCTAGAGAACTCAGGTGCACAGGCTGACTAACTAATATCCTCAACAATGTGAATACATAAGCATGGCACGCAGGCCGAAAGGGAAACTATCTACTCTACGCTCCAAACCTCTAGCGCGCTCCAGTGTCTACTCCTCTGTGCCTGAAAGCCAAATATATCTGTTCAGCGAGAGATGCTGGTAACCCACTCCAACGCGTTGAAATACATTATATATATATATATATATATATATATATATATATATATATATATATATATATATATATATATATATATATATATATATATATATATATATATATATATATATATATATATATATATATATATATACGAAAACCATTTTGAAGCAGGAAGATATATACTTAAGAGACACTAGTTTTAAAACCAAGAATAGACTCGACAGATAGGGATAAACACATTCAACAGTTATAATCAAGCATATAAAGATACTAGCATATATCATATGGTCACAGATTCACTTCATCTCATTCATATCATCATTCCAATTCGTATCTCATCACACACAAGCACAATTTGGTGGCGCCACAGGACCAATCGCATGCCCATACATGAGGGTCAGCGCATATAGCTCTGACACGGCCCGGCAGCACCCTGCCTCGTATCGCAATACGAAGGGGTCGATCGCAACCGACCGATGAACCGCAGCTCATCATAATGTTTGATCGCAACCAAACAGTGGACCGCAGCCCAAAAGTGATCATCTGACCGCAGCCAGGAATATGAACCGCAGCTCATGTAAAACGTTTGATCGCAACCAAACGGTGGACCGCAGCCCGAGAGTGTAATTCTGACCGCAGCCAGCTTCTGAACCGCAGCTCAGGAATAACCAATTTGATCGCAACCAAATTGGGCACATAACACATAGCAAGCACATGCAACCCACATTAACACATTGGGAAAAGGGGAGAAAACGTATAACGAAACCTATGCGTGGCCATCCACATACTAGGAATAATCCTAAGGGGTTCATACTTCCTTTACCTAGGCCAACGGGATACCAATTCACTAGCATGCGATATATAAGACTCATTTATCCTACGAACGGTACCCGAAACATCAAACTAGACTTAGGCACGATAAACGGAGTCCGTTGGGATACCACGAGGGTCGGGGAAACATCAAACGGGGAAGCCGGGGTCCCAAAGTGGACAATTTCCAGCGGGTAGCCGGTGGGTGGAAGGCCACCCGCCGGCGACAAGTCTCCGGGCAGCGGGTGCCCGGCAGGTAGTCGCCTGCCCGCCAGCTGCCCGCTGCCGGCGACGCCCTTCTTGGGCAGCGGGTAGGTGGCGGGTCCCCCCTACCCCCACCTACCCCCCACTGACTCTTTATCAAATAAACGTCCCGGGATTCGTTGTGGAACCCGAAACTATGCTTAGACACTTTTAAACGCAATTTATGACACCACGTAGACAATTAACTTATCAAAAGCAAGAATCATATAGCACATATCCTATCACGACTTCTAAATATAATCAACACCTGAACATGCGAAATCCCACCCAATTATATCAAGAATAACACAATACGAAATTCCCAATTTTAACCTAGGGCTTTGATCATATTCAAATCAATAAAATCATAGTTCATCTTTTAATTGCCAAAACGTCAAGATTCATCAAGAACATCACATAATCATCAAGAACCTCTTATCATCATCAAGATCATCAAGATCACACATAAAATCATCTCACATTCACCAAGAACATATCATCAATATCATAAACGATTCATCAAGACACAAGTATAGAGAGGAGGCCAAAGAAGATAATTATAGCAAGGAAAATAGGTTTTGTTGAGACATGGGTTACCTCTTAGCCTTAATTAATTTCCTTGGCTATGAAGGGTCTTTCTTTAAGATTCCTTCTTTCTTGATTTCTCCTAGGGGATTTCTTGAAACTTCTTGTGTGGTGAGAGATTATTGTGGTGTGGGTTCTAAGTGCCTCCTAGGCCCCCTATATATATATATTTAAGAGTCCTAGTTATGGTCCAAGTGGTATGAGTTTGCTAATTCTATTTCCTATAGGACTAGGGGATTGGTTTTAGGGATAAGGGCTCATGGACCATGGTGGACCTTTCTTAATTAATTACTGGAATTTAATTCTTTCTTTTGGGTAAAAGATTAGATGATTAATTGGTTTTAGGGGTCGTAACTCGGGGTGTTACATATAGCCTTTAGCCTTTGATGAAACTTCATCTCATACTGCATCTCTAACTTCATCATTGACTTATGAAGAATTTGACTTGCAAACTGCATCTAGTATTCCACTTTTGAAACTTCAGCTCCACCTGTTTTCAAACCTCAGCTCCTACTTCATCTCGCTCTTACTAATCTCCTACTTCATCTCGATCTTACTATATATAGCCTTTAGCCTTTGATGAAACTTCATCTCATACTGCATCTCTAACTTCATCTTTGACTTGCAAACCTCTGCATCTCTAACTTCATCTTTGACTTGCAAACTGCATCTAGTACTCCACTTTTGAAACTTACTTCATCTTTGACTTGCAAACTGCATCTAGTACTCCACTTTTGAAACTTTACTGCATCTCTAACTTCATCTTTGACTTGCAAAACCTCATACTGCATCTCTAACTTGCAAACTGTATCTAGTACTCCACTTTTGAAACTTCAGCTCCACTGTTTTCAAACCTGAACTCCTACTTCATCTCATAGGGCTGATTTAGGCTTCTTTAATTTTGCCTTATAAAATTTGTAGAGAGTGAGTTTCGAACCTAAAACCTTGCAGTTTATACATTAAGCTTTCATCCATCTCACCTGTACAAATTATTAGTTTATATAGCATTCTCCTTGATATACTTCTTTCTTTCCATAAATGCTTGATCTTCAAGATAACTTCATGCAATTTAGTTTTCTTCTCGTTTCTTCATATGAGATTCATCAGTATGACTTCTTCTTGAGTTGGGGCGTGTGGGCTTATTTAAGTATACATAACATATGCATACATCTCCTTCTTCTTCTTCTTCGTATTTTTCCCTTTCTCTATATTTGTTAATTTTCCTTTCATGGTCTATGACACGCCTAGACTTAAGAAATAAAATTGTGGATTCTAAAATATAATTTGGCATATCAAAATCTATTACAATATATTCCTAACACAGAGGACTTACGAGCTCATCTCCAAGTGTAGCACACCACACTCAAGCTTGCTAGAGCTACTCAAACAACTCTAGTGAACCCAAGTACATAGCCATATGCATGCCAATTAGCATATATAGTATCATCCCCCCCTCGCCCCCCGCCCCTCCCCTCCCCTTTTGATAACTAATCCCTTTGCACACTAAAACCACGAGCAAAGTGAAGGAAACCATATAAATTCCAATAACTCCTTTATGAAAAGGTTAGTTGATGGATTATAAGGAGTTGGTTCTGGGTCCATGGGCATAGGGGGTGCAGGCCCAAGAGGATGAAGCTAGTGAACAAGCCCATGAACATGGGGATGACTGCGTGTGGGGGTGCTTACAGGGTGGCGGCGAGTTGCGTACGTACACGGCCGCATGCATGCAAGATGACGACAGCTCGCATGCATGCAGGCACACGGGAGATGGCGGCTGCTCGTGCGTCCGGGCGTGCGCGTGGGTGGCTATCACTCGTGGAAGGGCGTGCGTCGAAGGTCGGCTGCATGTGGAATGTGCGTGCGACACGGGATATGCGCGAGAGAGGCGCGCAAGGTACGGCGAGGTGCGGGAACGTGCGGTATGGGACGGCACGTGTGTGGTCCCGGAATAGAGGCTTGATTGACGTACACGTGGTTGGTCCGGAGGGTCCTTCATCCAGTATAAAAGGGGAGTGGGTCATAATCCAAAGGGGCGAAAAAAAGAGAGAGGAGTTGAGGAGGTGGTAGGAATCATCCTACGAGAGGCGAGCGGTCGCGAGGTCGATCTTAGATAGCATCATCCACTAGTCGCCAGATTGGGCTTATCATTGGGCGTGATAGTGAGTTAGGGAATTTGGGGGCCTTGCGCCCTCAGCATAGTACGATCTCTTTTGTCATCCTTAGTTGTCTATTCAGTTTATGGTGAACCCGTTTCCAATAAAACCATCATTGGCACCATCTATGGAGGCCGTTACAAGAAGTACACATTCTCAAACCCATTACCTTGTCGTAGTGTGTTACGTGCCCAATTCCCAAAGATGATCATCGGATCCCAAAGCCGGTTCCTGAGGGCGCCCGTCTCCGACGTAGGATGGATCCCGCCCTCTGACGAAGGACGCGGCGTTCCTAGCTGCGTCCGGCGGGCCCACTCGACCCCGCCCATGCAGGAGGCCGCTCGCGCTGGCCACGAGGTCAACAACGTAAGACCTTCAGCCCCCAAGGCCTGCTTCCCTCATCATGGCCCGGGGCGACGCTAGAAGCCTACGGCCGATGCAAGCGTGGGCAACGGGAGGATCAAGTCCCAGGACCGAGGGTCAGAGTGGGGCCGAATGGACGACACGGATAGGCACGCCTGTGATGACGAGTTAGAAGGAGAAAGTGCCCACCAGGCTACAACGGCAGACCCTGGTGGCGGATACCCGGTCCGCCCCACAGCTGGGGGTGGGCGAAAGGTGTGGAGGCCAAGATAGCCGAGTTGCTCAGGTGGAAAGAAGGGGGCGGACTACCCATCCCAAAGATTGAGGTTACCCCGCCCTTCACTCGGAGAATCATGAGGGAGCCCATCCCCTCCACCTTCAAGCCGCCCAGCATCAAACGCTTCAACGGCCAAGGCGACCCGCAAGAGCACATAATGACTTATCAGGCCACCATGATGCTAATGGGATCTTCAGAGGCCAGGATGTGTAGAGCCTTCTTCTCCACTCTTGTTAACCAGGCACAACGCTGGTTCACGAGCCTCAAGGGCGGCACCGTGGACTCTTTCCATGACCTGGCCGTGAAGTTCATTACACACTTTATGATGGGGAGAAAGATCCGGAAGCATTTCACTCACCTCACTACGGTGAAGCAGGGAGTTGGAGAATCTTTAACTGACTTTCTGGTCCGCTGGCGGGCAGAGGAAGCAAACGTAGAAGACATAGACGACAAATCGGGCATGGTCATGTTTGTCGATGCCCTGAGGGCAGGGGATCTATACAAAACCCTGCGACGCAAAACCTCAGATACCTACGCGGCGCTAATGGCGAAGGCCGACAGGTATGCTGAAGCCGAGGAAGCAAATCGACTGAAAGGGTACGAGGAAGAAGCTCCCTCCAAGAGGCCCCGACCGACCGAGGAACCTGCTAGGCCGGGGAAGAGGGGGGCGAACCCCCTCGTGGAAAGACCTACCGGGGGAAGAGGAAAGGCAGACACCAGGGACATAGCGGCGGCACATAGGACACCCCGCCGTGGGCGCCCCGCCCACCCATGAGAAGTCTCCCTATGGCTTCCCTCACCCCTATCAACGCCCGACCAAGCGAGGTATTAGCTTATGCTGAGGAATGTCAAATTGGCGGCTTTGAGTCATTTCATGTCCAAGCTAGCAGAAATGTCGCTGCCTTTCTTCCAAGTTATGAAGAGGAAGGACGGGTTTGCGTGGAATGACGACTGCATGGACGCTTTCGACCATTTCAAAACGTACTTGGCCTCCGCACCCGTCCTGTTGAAACCGGAAAGGGGAGAAGTCCTGTACGTCTACCTCCGACTAGCTCCGGCAGCCGTTAGCTCGGTGCGCCTATGGGAAGATGGCGGCATCCAAAAACCCATCTATTACGTAAGCAGAGCCTTACACGACGTGGAATTGTGATACACCCCGTAGAAAAAACCATATATGCGTTGATACGCATGACCCGGAAACTACTGTATTACTTCCAAGCCCACCCCGTAGTAGTCCTGACAGATCAGCCACTGGGATCAGTAATGAGGAACCCAATCTCCTCAGGAAGGGTGATGAAGTGGGCCATCGAGCTGCTCAATACAGCATCGAGTATAGGCCTCGAATAACTATAAAGGGGCAAGCACTGACTGACTTTATAGTGGGGTGCACGGCCCAGGAAGAGAAAGTAGAGGGCCAAACCACCACCACCCCCCTCCCACAGCCGAATGGGAGATGTACACACATGGAGCTTATGGTCCTGATATCTCCCTAGGGGTTCAAGGCCTACCGAGCATTCCGATTCAACATCCAGCTATTTAAGAACGAGGTAGAATACGAAGCTTTGATCGGAGGGCTGCGATAAGCCCAGACGCTCCCGGCTCGGCGCCTTAAGATCAGATCTGACTCCCGACTTGTAGTGGGACAGGAAAACGGCGTATTTGAGACCAAGGAGAACAGGATGCGGTAATACAAAGAGGTAGTGAAGCAACTACTCGCAGGGTTGGAACGATGGGAGTTGCAGCAGATCCCGAGGGCAGAGAATGGAGAGGCCGACCTCTTTTCGCGCCTAACCCAAGGGGTTGAGGAGCACCTCGAATACATATCTTGGATTGCCCAAGTCACAGACATAGTGTAACAACCCACTTTTCTAACTCTTAATTATCTCTCTAAACAGTCATTAACATAATCTAAGCAGCGGAAAACTAGATAATAAGTAGTGAGGGTGTCACCGCCACAACCACCAATCTTGGTGAGTACACAGGCTAAAGGGGTAAAACTATAACATACGATTAAGTCTGGGTATTAAAATAAATACTGAAAGATAAGGGGGAAAGACGTCACCCCAAAACAGTCTACATCATCAAACGTCATCATAAGTGGAAGGTCATAGTCTAATTCCAAAAGACATCATAAATAGAACTAGACTTTAAACAGCTCAAACTAAGAGACTAATCTAACTGGATCTCTTCTCACTGCTGGGCCCACCTGAAAGGGTTTTGCAAGCAACACATAGACAAACAGGAAAACACCCATTAGCACGAAGCTAAGTATAACCACACTCAACCCGGTAAAGCATTCTAGCATATATTTTGAGAACATTTGATATCTTTATAGCAATAGGCTAACCTCAAAACATCTTTACTTCATCATATTCTTTCTAAATGCTTGCACCTTATAATATCAGTTGGCATGCTTACATATGAATAAGACTAATCATGTATATTTATATACATATAGACTTCTCAAATAGCTTATCAAGCAATTCATGCTTACAGATAGGATCATGTTTAAAAATCATATAACAAGTGTTCACATGCTATCACACTCTTATCACATAACTTATTAAGTAGAATTTCTACTAAATCACAATAATCATGCTTAAGGAACATCTCAAGTTAAACTTCTCATTAAACAATCTTTTACGATGTTAAATTCGCAAACAGTCATGTATAACATTATGAATATGCTTCTCATGCAATCTAGTGCCACATTATAATCATACTCTTATGCAATCTAGTGCAACATTATACTCATGTTCATGTGCAATCTCGTGCATTAATATAACCATACTCTTATGCAATCTAGTGCAACAATACACTCATACTCTTATGCAATCTCGTGCAACAATATAATCATACTCTTACGCAATCTAGTGTAATAATACACTCATACTCTTATGCAATCTAGTGCAAAAATATACTCATATTCATATGCAATCTAGTGTAATAATACACGCATACTCTTATGCAATCTAGTGCAACAATATACTCATATTCATATCTAAGCTAGTGTAACAATACACTCATACTCTTATGCAATCTAGTGCAACAGTATACTCATATTCATATGCAATCTACTGTAATAATACAATCATACACTCATATATAAAATAGAGTACTTTTTGTGGAGGTTTCTTTGTTACTTTCTCGAGTCTATCTTGACTCTCTTTCTTTCTATCGAGTTTATATCGACTCTCATAATCGAGTCTCTGTTGACTCTCTTTCTTGAGTCTCTGTTGACTCTCTTTCTTTCTCTTATACTCGTATACGGCTTAGGGTTTCACAGAAGTGTGACTTACCCCATCGGGAATGGCATAATTCCAACCCAATATCTCCTACCGTCTACGGAACCAATCTCGTGGTTCAAACTCTTTGGAATCAGGTATGGAACTATTAGTGTGCACACCCCCTAACCAGGATTCCAAGCCTGGCGGGAAGTTTCCTACCTCGTAACGTGGGAATACGCCGCGTTACATAGTCTGGGATCGCAATGTCCATAAATAACTCCCGAGAGGAACATAGTCCAAACGGTATCCTCCAAAACCTCACTGATATAGATAATACATAAATATATCTCTCATGCGGGCATCTATCTCATGCATGCAACAATTCTACAACTTCTTATTGCATCAAAGAATGATGTACCACATGCTTATGGTTTTTGAAAGTATTCTTGATCTCACGTTGGCCCTTTATACATTTTTGAAATATGACTCATGTGAAATGTCAAATGCTCTATAACATGCTTCTAAATCATGAAGTATTCAAAGATATATCATCATGCTCGGTTTGCAAAAATAGCAATTTCTATACATCTCACTCAACAAGTATGCTTCTATTCTCATGGATCAAAGAATACAATTTAAACATGCTTTCATAAATAATCCTATTCTCAAAGGATCATACTTCTTTACTTAATAAGAACATTATTTGATCACAAATTCAACAATTTCTCAAATACAGAGAGTTAGGCAAAATATGCACTGTGTCACATTTCTTCACAAAATCATTCATAGCATACTCGATTTTAATCAAAATTCAATGAAATCAAAGCCAAAACGTGCGTCAAGACGGTCCCGAAGAGCTGAGCCACAAGGGCCCGTAACACTTGGTCTGAAATGACACGTAGCTGAGCCACAAGGGCCCGGCTACTGCACAAAATCTCATCAGAACATCACTCAGGGACTTGGGGCGGGACTCATCATGGTCCGCCCCTATAGACCCGCTACTATGCTAGGACTAGGCGACGGTCCTCTTCTAGGGCCGTGCCCTAGTCCCGTGGTGGTACGGCTCTAGCCAACGGCCCTTCTGATGGGCCGCGGCTAGGGCCGCCACTCTAGTCTGGTGCACACTGTGTTGTGCACCAGATAGCTTTTCACCTGCAAAATCTTGTCCAAACATGTCCAAAACAATCTCAACAACTCATAAACATATATCAAAGCATTTCTAAGCATAAACACATCAAAGCTCATAGTTTCTACTCATTTCTACTCAAATCTAGGCTTCACAGAGCCAAATCTAAAGAGGAATCCATGGGGTTATACCTCTTGTAGACCTCTTCTTCTAGCTTGGATCTCTTCTTCCTCTTGGTCTAGCTTGAGCCTCCTTCACCACCTACACTTCCCAACACACCTTCTATCCTTAGCCTAAAACCTTAAAGACTAAAGAAACTAGAAGAAAAAATGAAGCTAGAAAGGAGGATGAACAATGCTTACTAAGTTGAAGCTTTTCTCCTTGGATGTTGGCAGACAAAAGTGAGGAAGAGGCAATGAAAATGAGATCAGGAAAATGTGATGGAATGAAGGGTTTATATAGGGTCCAAAACCCTAGGATGATACACAATGATTGGTTGAGGGCAAAGGGGTAATTTCCCCAAGATAAAAGATGACTTTATAAAGGATTTTTGGATGTCTTGTGGTCCACCATGTATCATGAACCATAGGCTAAAAATGATATTTCTTTATTACTTTGGGGTGGAAAGTGAATTTTTCCAAAAACCATATGGATGAACACTGTTCAAAATTCCCTTTTTAATTCTCCTGGTCTCACTCGGATAAAATTCTCGATTTAAATCTTGGTACGCGAAGTACCCGATAACTTGAAATTTTCGAAAGAAATACTCTTCTTCGGTGTCGAATTGATTTTAAAATGTGATGAAAATTATTTTATTCACACACCGATTGATCGCAAAAAATTTTTAATGGAGTCAAAAAGCTATTTTGAATTTTTTTAATACCGAATTTATAAATTGAAATTTTGGGTTGTTACACTCTACCCCCCCCCCCCCCCCCCTTAAAGGAGTTTCGTCCCGAAACTTAGAAGAAACGGGCGGAACAAATTCTCGAAGAAGAAAGGATGATATAACCAAAAGGATAGAATTTTCTGCTGAAAGACTTGGAAAGATTTAAGAATCTTTGAGCTCTCTTCTATCTTATCTAGAATCTAACTTCTGCACCAACTAATCTATAACAGAACTTAAGAGTTTAACTAGTTACCTTGATTAAAGCCTCCCGAGGAATCGCCTGGTGGCATGTAGCTTGGATCCCAACCATATGGGGTCCATCTCTATACATTCTCAATCCCCATTCTTTGCTCTATGACTGCAGCCCTAGCAATTTCTTTTCGCCAGTCAAAGTGGGTTTCTCGGGACGGTATTCCTTAGGGAACTCTTCCCTACTCCCGGTCATGTATCTCAAATATTCTTGATGTGTCAACCCCGCGTGGGCGACCCAATCCTCCCTATCATACGTATCCAAACCATCCAACGGTAAGTTA